ATGTCCAGGCAAGAGTCCCTTGGACTACATCCTGGAGAGTGGCTGTGTCCTGTGACCTGCTGTTATTCAGCTTTATCCAGAGAACTGGAAAAGTTTTTTTCAAAGGTGTATAGCATATTGCTTTGCTTTCTCACTTAACTCGGGCATTATCTAAGGGTTTTCTTGTTGACAATCAAAGAATATATAAAATATTACCTCAGTGTACTCGTGGGTTTCATGTCTCTAACCCCTGAGTGTAGGATTTTGCACTGTCAGGGTCTTTGGGATTTTTGAGGTCTCTCTGCTTTCCATGAAGACATAGCTTTCATTTATTTAGGTCTTATTTTCTGTTGCACACCAACATTTTCTTGACATTAATCTAGGGTAACAATTGTCGGATCACCATATAGTCTATCTGGTCAATGTAATATATTCTATATATGTTGTTCATGATAATGGTATCATTTGTAGTTCTTGTTTTTTTTATTTGTTTGTTTTGAGATAGACTGGGTTTCTCTGTGTAGCCCTGGCTATGCTGGAACCCATTCTGCAGACTAGGCTGGCCTTGAACTCACAGAGATCTATCCACCTGTCTCTATCTCCCAAGTGTGCTGGGATTAAAGGTGAGTGTCACCATGCCCGGTTGGCAGATAATAGTCTTTATAAAAATATTCTCTATGTTATGTTGTTAACAGTGGAGTTTTTGCTCCTAAAAAAAGTTTCTAAAATTTTCTTAAAACTCTTTAAAGTTTTTAAACTTAAACTCTAATCTTTTACTTAACTCTAAACTTAAACTCTAAAAACTCAAAGCTTTTAACTACTTGGTTCCATCTGTTGAAGGGTGCCGGGTTTTCCTGCTTCCTGTGTCTCTCGTGTGTTTCAGGAAGTTATATTTTCCTGAGATTGTGTTCACTTCCCCCAAGTTTTTATATCTATTGGCTTAAGATTGTTAATAATACCAGCAGCGCATGATTGGTGTTTCCTGTATTTGTATTCACCCTTCTTCTTCATACCCTATGCTTGTAAACTCTTTTCTCTTTGAATCCATTCTTTGAGAAGTTTGTCATAGTATTAGTTTTCTTAGAGAAAGACACTAGAGTTTGCTGGTCCTTCCTGCTGAGTCTTTCATCTCTGCCTCATTATTTTATGCTTTCCTATTTTTATTTATTCTTGAGGGGGTGGCGGGGAGAGAAAGGGCGTGTTTTTATCACCTGTCACACTAGCTCTGCAGCTCTTTGCTTTCTCTGCCCATCTTTCCCTTTTTGTTTTGGTCTTTTTGCTCTACTGAGATAGGATCCTGCTGAATAGCCCTGGCTGGTTTGGTGTTTGTAACCCTCTTGCCCCTGTGTCCTGAGTGCTAGCTCACACACTAGCATGCAATCTCTTGCCTTTCTTTTAGGCATTAGCACCGACATATTTCCTTCTAATTATTAACTCTGATGTTCTATGAAATTTGATATGTAATGTTTTCATCACCATTTGATTCCAGCTGCTTTTGACCTCAGCATCACTTAAAAATGTTTTTGAATTTCCCAATATGCTGAACTTTAGCTTCTCATTGCTGCCACAGTCCTGACTCCATTCTACTGTGCTAAGGAAAAGGACCTTTATGTCACAGTCCTCTGACATTTTTAAGATTTACCTTGTAGCCCATGTATGGCCAACCATTTTGGGTGGTTAGAGGTGGTTGTGACCTGGATACTTCTAATCACTAGATGATGCGCTCTCAGTCAATCTAACAGCCCACTTTTGCTTTTGCTAATATCCCTTAACACTGGCAATTGACGGTTCCTCCCACCTTGCCCTGAAGGTGTATGGGGCAGGGCTGGGGACACAGGAGGAGGGCAGGAGACTCTCTGGCATGATGAAGTTGGAGGTAAGCAGCAGCTTGGGCACAGGGCAGAGCATCATGACTGCTGGAGTGGTACCCTCTCTTCTGACTCCTGGTGAGGTGACCTCTTTAGCCTCAGCTAAGTTCCAGCCCATTCCTGCCTGTTGAACCTGACTCTGCGAGCTGGGCCAGGCTTTGGTTCCTACATTAAGAAGTTGTGATACTGAGCCCCAGCTGTGTAGGTCACCAGGTGAGGTTCTGACTCTGCTCTCACACACTCATGAGCTAGTGTAGTGGGAGCCACCATGACACCTGCAACAGACACAACCACGGGTTATGCACGACAGCCATATCAGATAGAGCAGCTGCTCCTGCTGGGGGCAGCGTGGCATAGCAGAAGGGCAAAGGCTCTGTCTTTAGAGGTATCAATCAATCATTGCCGGCTTGAGCCTAGCAGGCATCTTCAGGCTCTGTGTTTTATTTTTTTTTTCTCCAGCCTAGCAACCAGCAGGCTTCAGCTCTCCAGCTCAGGAAGTGAGAGCAAGTGAAAAGCAGAAGTTGCCGAAGCTGCGTGCCTTCCTGGGTAGCAGGGACAGGTTGTGCCCTGGGAGGAGGGCCAGGAGGCAGGCTGCTGTCTGTGTTAACTTGCCATGTGGAGACACTTGGAAATTGGAAAATGAGTGCATTTATGTCAACATAGAACCACCTGCTCCATCTTGTTGCTGGGTCTCCTGGCACTGGAGTTGTAGGTGGTTGTAAGCCACCATGTGGGTGCTGGGCGATGAACCTGGGTCCTCTGCATGGATAGTAAGTGCTCTTAACCACCCAGCCATCTCTCAAGCTCTCACAATTTCTTACAGCCCTCTCAGAGTAAGTGAAATATTTTTCCTATGCACCATTAATAAGAAGAATTATTTTGGAGTTCATATGTGTTTAGAGAAACAAGTGTGAGCATTTTAATTGTTGGGGTGTGGGGTTCAAACCCAGGGCCTTGGGCTTGCCAGGCACATGCTCTACCACTGAGCTTCACACTCAATTCTTGCTTTTATTTTGACCTTTGAGTTTACCCAGAAGTTGTACTTGACTCTGTTCTTGTCTGTCTAGAATCCTTTTTTAAAAGCTTTCTCAGGCTTTTTGGGGGAAATTTTTTCCTTACATTGGGCAACATTTGTAGATGGAAGTTCCTGTCCTGCCTGGTCCCACAGCCATTCAGTCCAAAATAAACAGAGGTTTACATTGATTATAAACTGATCTGTTGTTAAGGCTTATTATTAACTACTTCTTATAACTTAAATTAACCCATAATTCTTATCTATGTTTAGCCATGTGGCTTGGTACCTATACTCAGTAAGGCATTCTCATCTTGCTTCCTCTGCTTCTGGATGATGACTGCATCTCTGTCTTTCCTCTTCCCAGAATTCTCCTAGTCTGGTTGCCCCGCCTGTAAGTCCTGCCTGGTTACTGGTCAATCAATGTTTTACTAAACTAATATGAGTGAAAAATCTTCATCATTCCACAGCAATAGTAGAGTCTCACCATGGAGCCCAAGATGGCCTGAAACTTTCTCACCGTTGTGCAGCAGCAGCATCACATGGGATTATACATTAAGACCATATAAATTTGCTATTATGTGTGGAGGTAGGAAGATAGGACATTTTTAGGCTGCTAAAATGATCAAACTGCATTGCTCCTGATGCAACCTCTTGTTCTTTCATGCCTGGAAGGAGCAAAAGTGACCACACCAAAGGATCTAATGAACATCTGTCCAACATGGTAGTCTGACCACCTCTGTGTAGACATCTGGGTCTCCATCAGTAGTCAGAGGCAGGCAGGATGGTGACACAGGCTGCTGACTGGGACGCTCAAGCCTCGCTCTCACACATACCTCTGTGTAGACTGTGGTTTGGTTTCTTCCTCTCTGGTCAGAACTGACAGTCAACACAGGAGGCTGTGATGGGGTCAAGTAACTGTCACATCCTCAGAGAGCACCAGGGACAGGAGAAAGTGCTGCTGTAGTTGGCTGCCACTTAGAGGTTTGACAGGGGAGCCCAGTGGATAGGCCATGTTCTGCCAGCTCAGTCGGAGGCTCCACACTTGTTATTATGTGGATTTAGCACCTAAAAAGTAACATTGCTTACCCACTGTACTTGGATCCTCAAGTCAGCTGGCTGAGCCGGGAGAGGCAGCGAGACTTGAGGTCTAGAAGCTTGACTAGGAAGTCCACACTCTCTTCCGTCAGTGCAGAAGTGTGCCACACTCCAACTGCAGAGAGGTCACCATGTGGGTGACTGTTATGAGCTGGAGTCAGGAATTTTACTTCATACTCTTGCCCTTTAAAGTATGAGGTGGTGTCCCCCACTGATGTATGAACAGACCCTGCTGTTTGCTGTACGGTAAGAAGCACACATTCTTCTTCATCACGAGTTCCTTTTAGACACCATTTATGCCCACGCTTCAGTGCTTCTGACTCCGCTCACAACCCTCATCTACTTTCGTGTGGGCATCTAAACTGTCGTTCAGCTGGACCTGGTTTCATACATCTGTAAATACAGCACAAAAAGGTCTCAGCGGGTGATCAAAAGCTTAAGTCCAACCTGGGCTACACAATGAGCTATCTCTGGAAAACAAAACAGAACAGAACAGGAGTCAGAGATGTAGCCCAGAGCTAGTCTTGGTCTCACAAGCTGGAGGTCCTGGTTTTGACCCTAGCAGCCCAAGAAAACAGCAGCCAAGCCTGTCATTCTCAAAGGAGAATAAAAGGCCTCCCAGATTCTGAAGCACCCGTGGTGTAGCTACAGAGTCAGGGTTGAAGGGGAGGTTGCAGAGGCCAACACTACTGTTCCTACCCTAGGGCTGAGAGGTCGCTCAAGGTCTGGCTCAAGGTCTGGCTTTCTCTACACAGCAGGCGATGTCCTGCTTTAAGACTTGCCAGCGGGGAGCCTTTGGGAAAGAAATCCACCTGAAGTGATGCTTCAGTCTTAGAGCTACGGAGAGAGCCAGAGTACTTATAGTGACTGCTTCAGCGTCCAGCGGTGGACCCTCATCAGCATATGCTAACTTCGCACTACCCTGCAGACCAAATAACAGGGACTTCCCTCACCACTCCCACCCACCCACCCCGCCTGCAGAGGGCCAAGAGGAACCCGCTGTGGCTGGAGCTTCCTTCCTTGTCAGTCACGTGGGGCTCGGCTCCCATCCCTGAAGCTGGGGTTATTAGGCTCACTTGGCTGCTCTCTCGGGAGCCAGAACAGAACACCACTATGAGCTCTAGGGTCCCAACACTGAGAGCCCTCCTGGTCCTCTTGGGTAAGTGAAGGCAGGTGGTGGAAACGGAAGTGGGTGTTACCTCTGCCAGCCTGGGATCCTAGTGAGCAGACGCTGCAGAGAACAGCCATGGGCTTTTCCTCTGAATCATGACACATCCCTCAGGATAGGAGGTGGCTTTGTTGACTCTGGTGGACAGTGAGCAACGTCTTTGTTTCAAACAAGTGTTGGCTGGGCTGAGGGAGGAGAGGAGGGTGCCGTGGGGGAGAGCGCCAGGCTATCTAAGAACAATCGTCTTCCACTGTGGCTTTGTTCATCACAAACTGGGATATGCTTCTGACACTCTGAGTTTCAGTTTCTGACCTAATGAAATGGAAGATAATAATGTTTACTTTGTAGACTCGCAAGAGAATTGAGTTAAACTTAAGTGACCCAAATCAAGATAATTGCACAGCAGAGAGAGGCAGATGGTGCTGCCCCAGTCCTGGTGACTTTGTGTGGAGTGGACCCAGAAGCATCTTTATTTTTAGAAATCACCTTTATTGCTAAGCCCTGAAAGGTAGAAGGATGGAGACAGTCGGGGGTAAAGTGGTCCCAACAGGAAAGAAAAAAAATATCCAGAGAAGCATAGAGAGGAAACATGGAGAACTGGAGAAAAGTTCAGCAAGATGGCTAGAGATTTTCAGAGATGTGGACAGCAGTGACGGGGATGCAGAGATGTGGACCGCAGTGACGGGGATGCAGAGATGTGGACCGCAGTGATGGGGATGCAGAGATGTGGACCTCAGTGATGGGGATACAGAGATGTGGACCGCAGTGATGGGGATGCAGAGATGTGGACCGCAGTGATGGGGATGCAGAGATGTGGACCACAATGATGGGGAGAAGCGCTGCTTTGCAGATTGGATGTCAACCGTTGTTTCTTTGGAAGGCAGCTATGCTCATGCCCAGCAGCACACCACCTTTGTTTCTATGGAAAGACAGCAGCCTTATAATTTAAGACGTGTTTTCCAGAAAACTAACCAAATCGGAGAGCCAAGCAGATTGCTTCCTAAGTAGACAAAGATTCCCACAGCTGCCCTCCATGTGTGCCTGTGCCAGGCAGGGGCAGCACAGACCTAGATCTTGGGAATTAGCATGTCAAGACAGGCACTCTCATCTACATGTGGGCGTGGCTCCCTGATAGTGACAGTGATGAGATGGTACGAACCAGCAAGCAGTGAGTGAAGGTTCTCAGGACAGCTAACTCGGTGTTCCTGCTGAGCAGAGGCCAGAGCCAGCGGAATCTCTCATTTCTGCTTTGGGCCGACAGAAATACAGACCGCTCTGCCGCAGAGAACCAGGGTCAAGAAGATTCTATGCAACCTTACCGTACGTAACCAAGTGTCATGAGCTATTTCACAGGGAGTTGTGAATTTAAGAAAAGCAGTAAATAAAGTAAAATTCCATAAACAGGGAATTCATTGAAGAATTGCAGACAATAGTTTGGGGATGCTCAGGTTGGCAGACCCTGAAAGAAGTAATAGCATGTGGCAGGTATGGGTGCTTTTGGGTTGTGAAGTATGGGCTAACATTTACCTTGGCTCAGTCAAGTCCTCAGCTGCGTGGAAACACACCTCGGGTACTCAGTCTCCTCATCTGTAAGAGGCAGCTAATAGTCCATCCCACTTCCCACTGAAGTTGAGAGAATTAACCCTGTTACAGCCTTCTGTCTTCTTAGCACAGTGTCTCGTGGTGTACGCACAGGATCAGGCATTAGGGAGATTTACTGATTCAACTTCATGGAGGCATTTGGTGGGTGGGGAAGAAGCTGAAGCTATTCACAGCGTTTGACCCAGAAATTCCAGGGCAAAGAATTTACTCTAATAAAATAACAGGGTAAAAGCTTCCCAGAGCCGTTTAACAGGATGTTACTCCACACAGAGGGAATCTCAACGAAGGGATTGTCCGGATGGGATTGGTCAGTGCCCTGTCTGTGGGAGAATTGTCTTGGTGGTTGATGATGTCACAGGGCTCCCTGTGGGTGGTGCTACCTCTGAACAGGTGATCTGGGGTGTGTCAGAAAGCCTAGCAAACACCAGGTAGAAGTTAGCCACTAAGGAACTTGTTAGTAAGTTGGCAGTGGTCATGGTGTTCATTACAGCAACAGAAAAGCAAACTAGAGCATTGTCTGAGAAGCATTCTAAAAGTCACCTTATTCAAACAGGCTGCGCCATGCAAGGGTAATATCTGAAATGCATTTGTGTGTGTGCCTTCACGGAAAGGTCTGGTGTTATTTTTCTGTCTGTAATATAAATACCCTAATATTTGCTTTAGAGTCTTTCATTTACCACCTCTTTGCAATGCTGCTGCCATTCAGTCCCCATTTAATAGACAGGAGAACTGCCTGTTCTGAGCCCTGGTTCTGGATCTGTCTGTATTTGAACACTGTAGTGCAGGTTTGATAAATAGCTCATGACACTTGGTCACGTACGGTAAGGTTGCATAGAATCTTCTTGACCCTGGTCACTCCTTCTTGCTCTGCAGCTTTTCCTCACAAGCATGGTGAAGCCCATTTCCTGAGGGTTAACCCGTGTTATGCTTCCCTAAGAGCTGCCCACGGACCTTATTTGCCTCTCAAATACAACCCAACAGGGGCTGTCCTTGTAGCCAGGCCCATTTGGACAGACGGACAGAGAAGCACACGATGGTGAAATGGCCCCTCAGAGGTCACAGAGCAGGAAAGTGGCCGCTGAGTTCAGATTCAAAATGGGGCATTCTGACACCTCCAAGCTATCCTTTCACAGCCTAAAGCAACGTGCCTCTCAGCTCAGAATGGAAATGGGGTCATTATGAAAACACCCCCACGGTTTTTAAAACGTGTTGTTCAGATTTCCATTTCAAACTTAAAGAAAAGCGCGAACAATAAGGAGTACGCGTATACTCAGAAGGGTTGACTGTTGAGAGCAGTTCACCCCACTTTCTTCATCTGGGGTTCTTTCTGTGCGTCTTGTTCTATAAACCCCTCGAAGCCAGGCTGCATAACATCAGGGTTCTCTTTAACCCCTACATGCATCAGTGTGTTTTCCCCAAGCCTAGAAACAGGCTCAGCCGTGTGGGTGGAGCTGGAGGGACATCACGTGACATGAAGAAGGCGGGGCACAGGGCCCTGATGCCACAGGTGACCACACCTGCACTCTCCGAGTCTTCCTGAAGAGCAGAACAGTGGGTGGGGCTTAGAGAGAAGCTGAAGAAGAGACACAGTGCATGTTCAGGGCAGGAAGTGGTGCTGGTGTTCTTACCCTTTCCATGTTTATGGTTCTGAGTGTAAAACTATGCTATGAGATTTTGTGATCTCAAAGTATGTGGCTAATTAGTATTCAATATTCCTGTTGGCTTTTGTTTACTCTTTATGTACCTGTGATATGAAAACTATGAAGAGGCCCTCCCGCCTCCAGGGGTTTACATTCTCATGGTGCACGTCTCTAGTTTATTTGGAACATTGCTGGACTATTTATTATACCATTTTGGAAGAACCCCTTGGCCAAGAGTTTTAAAATGTAGAGGGCTATGCTAAATTTCAGGGCCCTACTGCTTGAGTTTACTTTGTTGTAACTCTGCTCCTTAATTTTCCCTGGGGAGCTGTTCACTAATGTGAATCAGAAATCAGTCTGCGTATGTACCCTCACCAACCCCATAGCTCTCAGTAAGTGAGTTACTGACAACAAAACGTACTGATTCGTAAAGACACTCATCTCAGTTCCTTTTTCCCAGGGCTTTAAACCTATTCTTTACCCTCAAAGGGCCAGGATTTCCAGCTAAGCCTTTTAGAACTAAATAGAAGTCTTAAGTTTTATCTTTTATGACTTGTTTATGTTTAGAAGTAGCCCTGTAGAAGATGCAGTGTGCCTGACCGCATCTCTGAGGAATTTGGCATATTCAGTTGAAGCTGTGCATGTATCATGGCTTTTCCACAGTTCTGAATCAATGGGTTTGCATGTCAATTAAAATCAGACCCGGTTGAAAGTGTAAGCAATAGTAGCAGGCCCATAACTAAATGCTGACATTCTAATGTATGGTTGAAAATTTTCATTATGAAGTAGTTACTAGTGATTTTCTATATGCATTTATCAGTAATAAAGCAATAGATATGCTTCACCCAATAGCTTGATTTTATTGTTTGAATTATTTTTATTTTCTAATTAAAGATTATCTTACTTCCCTTTCACCAATAACTGGAGCCCCTACATTCTATAGTGATGCAAATAAATCAGGAAAGGCAAGTTACAAATCAGAAAATTCAAGTAAAGTGTATCAAAGCCCTTATTATTCTGTTCAAAAGTCAGAATTATATGCTGTTCTCCTGGTACTAAAGGATTGAAAAGAATCAACATAGTTACTGATTCACAATTTGTAGAAACCGTTGTTTTGTATATTGAAACCGCTGAATTTATGCCAGATGACACAGAATTGACTTATTATTTATTCAGTTACAAGATATAATCAGGAATAGGCATCTTCCCATATACGTAACACACATCCGATTCTATATGGGTCTACCAGGTCCTTTAGCACAAGGTAATGCAGAAATCGATCAATTATTGATTGGAAATGTACTGAAGGCCTCAGAATTTCATAAAGAAAACATCATGTCAAGGATTTTTCCATTACATAGCAACAAGTCAAGGAAATTATAAGGAAATGTCCTACTTGTTCTGTATACAACCAAACACCACTACCAAGTAACCCAAATGGTATTCAAAGGAATGAAGTATGGCAGATGGATGTGTTCCATTTTGTAGAATTTGGAAAACTAAAATATGTACACCACGCTATTGATACTTATTCAGGTTTTCAATGAGCAACTGCTTTGAGTTTGGAAAGGCTGATTGGATAATCACATATTTGCTAGAAGTTATGGCCATCATGGGTATACCTGCACAAATAAAGACAGACAATGGTCCAGCATATGTCTATAAGAAAATGGAACAGTTTTTTGCTTATTATAATGTAAAGCATATTACAAGTATACTACAAAATCCTACAGGGCAGGCAGATCTACA